CTGGGCCCCAACTGAGCTCCAACTCAGCTCCAACTGAGCCCCAACTGGGCCCCAACTGAGCCCCAACTGGGCGAGGTCTAAGGTAATCGCAGCAGAAAGTTTGTCTGTTGAAAAAGAACGAACACAATAACTGTAATTCTGAAATGAGACAATTGTCTTCCTTTTTTCCCCATAAAGAGAAAAATAGTTATTATTGTATTAAATGTCTTTGAAGGTAAGCAATGAGATATCAGATTATTATATGTACATACATATAGGATTGTTTTAGGGAGAGATTCACACCTTAATAAATAACATTAGTGCCACACAGGCGGGCTTGGCAGATCTTTTCTCTGGCAAAGAAAACCTAAATAAAAAAGGAATATTTATCCAGTAGATAAATATTCTCTCATTTCATTTCAGCTGGTGACAGACAGACTGTTGCTACAGCTAGCGATCCGGAACAATACAGTTCAACAAACTCTGCAGGACACTTTTATAGACACATACTACGGAGAGAGCTTTGTTTATTAGTTATTTAGTGTCACAGTCTATATTAATATGAATGTATTAAATATAGGAAACATGGAAGAACAGCTTCTTCCTAATGCAATGCAGAGCTATCCTCCGGTATTACAGAGGAAAATACAAACATTGGATGGGGGTTGTTTTTATATTAAACTGTTACTGGTACACATCTCTACTCCACACCACGTCAGCATGTTCTTGAGTTAATAAATCTGAATCAAACACTCGCTCCCTTCCCTCTGATCTTCTTTCAAAATGAACGCGCTGAGTGAAGCTGCGAGAGCCCGCACTGACAGCGCAGTTTGAAAGCAACCAGACTCCCGACGCTGCCTCCAAACGCATTTGTTCAGCCGACGCTAAGTGACCAGCGCTGCCAAATAATTTATGACTCCGAAGCAACAGGCTCTGCTGTCTGTTTCCTTTGGCAACAGGTCGAGAAGACTGAAGCTCTCCTTTGTGTTGATGAGAACAGTTTCTGCAGATACACACACATCAAAGAGGCCATAAGTCAGTTTTTACTGTCTCAGAGCACAAATACACCATTCGATGCCTGCAGGGGGTTGATAGGGCTGTTAGTCAATGCCAGTGACTCATTGATTACTCGCCAGCAGCTGAGATTTCTGGCTCACTTCGTTTCAGAACAAAAACGCTCATTGATTCCTGCACTGAAGGCCTAATTCAACACGAGAGCAGGTTTTTATTCCAGTATTTACAGTATTACTCCTGTTGTTGTTGTTCTCTGTTTGTTTTCCTCAGCTACATTCAAAAGTCCACTTTCATCAAACACTGTCGCTCATATATCAAAAATGGAGAAAAGCACAGATGCAGACAGTATGTAGTGTATACCTCCCCTTTACTGTAAATAGGAAGCTCGTCTGTCAGACTGTCTGGACCGAATGGATGCTATTTTAAAGAGAGGCAGCAGAACAATATAAGGAAGCTCGCTGGAAACTGGAATAATCTCAGTGAGCTTCACGTTTCCCTGCGTCACGCTGACAGAAACATGGAGGTTTATCTCCTTTTCTAGCAGGAGACGAGCATTTAATCTCCTTCCTTCCACTTTATTTTAAGTCAAATTTATTTTATTTAACCTAATTAAACTAATTTAATAGTCATTTTTATGTTATATTTGGAGATATCTGACCCGCTCTAACTTCTAGCTGCTTCGAGCGTGTTTGAAAATGAATACTAGAGTTTGAGTTGCAGTCTAGACAATCTGCCCTTAAACCAGTTTCTACTTCCAGTGTCAAACACACTAAAGACCAGTATCTCCCAGCTAAATGTGAGCAGGATGTTTGACACTGTTTGTATCGGTGCTTCTGTCTTTTTAGGGCACAACAAAAGCTTACGATAAACTGCTTACACTCACCGCAGTGGGATTGATCGGCTGAAGGTATTTTAGTAGTTTCCACAAACTGGGTTTCTCACAGGAAACCAGCGGAGGTGGTACACACCCACAAAGTCTGTCTACAAACACTTCTCTGACTCCTTATGTCATAAGACCTCCTTCTCATATGACTCACTCAAAAGACGGAGCGTTCAGCAGCTAAAGAGAGTGAATATCTGACATTATTTGGAGCCGAACTGTCACAGTTTGGACACTCACCGTTGAAGAAGCTCTTGACCTTCAGGTATCCGACGCTGAGGCGGAGCACGGACAGCTTGTCCAGCCGAGCCCGGACCTCCTCGGTGAAGGGCAGCAGGCTGGTGAGCTTGTCCAGCTCGCCATTGAGGCGGTCTCTGTGGCGTTTGGAGGGGTTGGACTTAGTGCCATCGGGAGGTGGTGGTTTGGGACTGCGGGACAGAAAGAGGACGACATTACAACACAGTAACAACGAAGGGGTTGATGAATATAGGAAATCAGGAAGGAGCTTTACAGACAGACAGAGAGAGAGAAAACCCTGTGGGAAAAGGTTAGTTTCCCCCGACAGTCCAAGCTTGAGTTTGGGATTCAGAAAGGTCACGATGAGTCTTACAAACAAGCTCGAGGGTAAATGTGTTCAGTACACTGACGCGCGTGTGTCTCAGTGCAACAGCAGCGGGGATAAACTGAGACGACACACTTTATACGAGACACTGACGACTGAACACACAGCAGGAGAAACATCAGATCAAACACACTGCACGCTGAAAAAGGGCGAAAGTAAACAGTTTGTTTAAAGACAGAGAGAAATAGAAATATTATATTATTACAGATTAATGTTGATCCACTAGTGTCAGTTTTCTCTCTCTTCACCAGCTCCTTATTGTCCCACAGCAGTTATAAAGGACACAAAAGTATTCTATGTGTGAAAACTCTACATATTAATTAAACGGTGACGTAACTCCAGCCTCTTGATCTCTGTGTTCTTATGGTTGTTGTTGCCTCACAGCTGCTGAATGTCGGGGATTAAAATGTTCTGCTCCATCCGCTGTTGCCGTGGGAACCAGGTGAGCAGCCTGACGTCACCTGCTCCAGGGCTTGTTTATCACCTGTGTGTTCAGCTCCGTTGTGTCGGCGCCGGGCAGAAAGCGTGGAGGGAAGGATGGAGCTGAGGATTTATGAACTGTTGAAGTTCTTTATACACAGTTTACAAACGCTGAGTGAGAGGAAATGATTTCCTAAAGGAGACATTTATTTACAGTTTCTATTCGCAGAGACTCTGCTCTTGTTTGACCCGGTTCAGATACAATCTACCTGGAAAACCTGACGACACGTTTACCTGTCTGTGTACGTTTGATTCGTTCGTTTAACTGAAGCATTCAAAGGTTTTTAACGATGGTCCAAATGTTGTTTCAGACACTTTGTTCCTTAAAGACAGAAGGACAGACGTATATGATGGTTACTTAAGACACTGCACAAACACTGGTTCCACTCTCAGTTAAATATAGAACAAACTACA